AAAATTAGAAATCTTATTTTAGTCTAGATATTCCAACTATGATTTCATGAAGAATTTTTTTTTTTTTTTTTTTTTTTTTTTTTTTAAATAAAGGACTTGACTTCAAAGTTTCAAATGAAAACAAGGTACTAGGATAATTGCGGTGTCTTATCACAGCATTTTTGACATAGAACAGTTTGAACTGGCATGCAAGCAACCTTTCTTGTTGTCACATACCTGTATTTAGGGAAAAATTACACCCATTTTACAGAAAAATCCCATACATACTGCAATAAGCTCAAAACAATGTTAAAAAGACAAGTGTGAATGGCACACAAAACTGCTTCTTTATAAATTATTAACTGGAATTCCTGATTGTGAAGTAGGCACAGGGCGATCCAGTCCTTAGGGTTTTGCTCTCTGGAAGAACACCTGTAAAAAAAGTATTAAAACAATACAAATGTTAGAAAACATAATTTCTTTCATATAAAGAACAATTCCATGGGTCTGAATGCCAATTACTCTTTTGTAACATACAATAGATTGACAATCCTCTACTGGAAAGCTAAGGAAATAAAGTATTACTGCTAATGCTGTGAGATAGGAACAGTGCTCGGGAGGTTGAGGCTGGAAGATAGTGAGTTTCAAGCTAGCCTGGGCTATGTAAGAGCGATCCTGTCCCAAAAGAAACAAAAACAACAACAAAAAAAAAGTGCAAAGAATGGCCTTACAGGAGCTTGGCCAAGTTATCTTATTGTCAACTTGACAGTCTAGAGTCCTCTAGTGGCTTGTGGGCAAGTCTGTGGGGGACTGTGTCAAATGTTAATTGATATTGGGGATGAGGGGAAGGCTCAGCACACTGTGGGTGGTACCATTCCCTGGGCAGGTGGCCCTGGACTATATAACATAGCTAGTTAAGCATGACTCTTCAAGCAAGCAAGCAAGCAGCATTCCTCTATGGTTTCTGTAACTTCCCTCAACAATGGACTTTTTGTATGTAATACGTAAGCTGAAATAAATCCTTTCCCAAATTGCTTTGAGTCATTGTATTTGTCGTTATCACCAGAAGGAAACTAGAATAGAGGCCAGGGTAAAGGGAAGTCTAGAATAGGCAGAAT